AAGTATATGTTGGATCTCCTTGGTGAAACGGGGTTTACAAGTACAAAACCAGCTGATACTCTTATGAAATCCAATACAAAACTGACTATTGATCGAGGGGAGTTATTTAAATATCCAAAAAGGTATAGACGACTAGTGGGTAAATTAAATTATTTGACTATTACAAGACCANATCCACCACCAACGATTGATCAACCTCCACCACCAACGACTGACCAGCCTCCAGTCCAGTGAGTTTCCCCCTCTCTCTATCTCTCTCCCCCCCCACTTTTTCTTTGTCTCTTTTGCGCTTCAATCCATCAACTTCCAGTGGGTATGAGATTGACAATAGAATGGTCGAGATAATGGGTGTATTTGAACCCTGTTTCGTCAAGGTAGTAAAATGTGTCCGTCATGGATTGGTGGTTTTGATTCAAGTGGCTGTACTGATCGTTTTTTAGTTAATCTTTTGTGTTTCAGTTTTTCTGTTTAATTTTGATTATGTAGTTGTCATTAATGCCACCCTCTTTGGTTTGAATAGAGTTGTTTTTGCCTTTTGATGGAATTGGTTTGGCTGATTGTAGAAATTCCAACCAGCAGCTTGAGCATTGTTCAGAATTCTATAAGTCCATTACAACAAATATAGGATGCAACAAGCTTGAAATAAGAACTACAGCACGGGATAACAGGTCACCAAATCAGTTGGTTCTGAAGATATACAAGTAAAGTTGTTGGCAATCTCATGTGTCATGCTTACTACAGTTTGAACTTTGAAGAGTGCAAACTATATGAATTATGCTTAGATTGATACACTGTCGAAGAGTTGGAATTAGACTTGGAGTCTTGAACTTCAATAGAAGTATTTTTCTCTACTTAACTTTACAAGTAGTTGTCATTAATGCCACCCTCTTTGGTTTGAATAGAGTTGTTTTTGCCTTTTGATGGAATTGGTTTGGCTGATTGTAGAAATTCCAACCAGCAGCTTGAGCATTGTTCAGAATTCTATAAGTCCATTACAACAAATATAGGATGCAACAAGCTTGAAATAAGAACTACAGCACGGGATAACAGGTCACCAAATCAGTTGGTTCTGAAGATATACAAGTAAAGTTGTTGGCAATCTCATGTGTCATGCTTACTACAGTTTGAACTTTGAAGAGTGCAAACTATATGAATTATGCTTAGATTGATACACTGTCGAAGAGTTGGAATTAGACTTGGAGTCTTGAACTTCAATAGAAGTATTTTTCTCTACTTAACTTTACAAGTAGTATTAAAAATTGAATACATTGAAATTGGATACATATTTGATAATTTTTCTCTACTTAACTTTATATGTTTGATGTTATTTTTAAAATTATTGTGATTTTTTAACCTATTTATTATTATTTATAATTATTTTTTAAGTTTTTATTATATTACCGGTCCGACCAATGACCCAACGGTTGAACCAGTGACTCATTGACCCAGTCCCTTCACCGGATTGATGTCCAGGATGGGTTTTAAAACTATGGTGCAGTGGTACCCCACAACAAAATGGGATGGGTGAATGCAAAAACCGTCACCTTATTAAAGTTGCTCGTGCCCTACTGTTTCATATTAAAGTACCTAAAGTTTGTTGAAGTGATGTTATACTTACTGCGNGGTTTTAAAACTATGGTGCAGTGGTACCCCACAACAAAATGGGATGGGTGAATGCAAAAACCATCACCTTATTAAAGTTGCTCGTGCCCTACTGTTTCATATTAAAGTACCTAAAGTTTGTTGAAGTGATGTTATACTTACTGTGTGTTACATGATTAATCTTATGCCATCGTTTGTTCTTAATGGTCAAATTCCTTACCAAGTTTTATTCCCTGATCATCCTTTATTTTTTATTCCACCACGTCTTTGGTTGTGTAGCTTTTGTTCACTAGTTGTCCAGGCATAGACAAACTTGATCCTAAATCTATCAAGCACGTTTTTCTGGGTAATTCTCGCACACATAAAGGGTATAAGTGCTATAATCCGACCTTTCGTCGTCAGTTTGTCTGTGTTGATGTTCCATTCTTCGAGTTTGTTCCTTTCTTTTCTAACACNATAAAAGAGACTACTAACCTGTAATCAGAAAAAAAAAAAAAAAAAGTTGAAGCAGAATCGCTTTTTATAATAAAGCGTTCGCTTTTTCGCTTTTTCTCGCTTTTTTCTCGCTTCGCTCAAGTTCGCTTCGCCTGGGGTCCTCCAGGCGAGATAAGCTCGCCTCGCCTCGCTTCTCGCCTAGGCGAGCTTTTCAAAACACTGTCCAAGATCATACTGATAGATCTCCTATTCGTTCCGAGCCAAGATCAAACTCGTGGCTGTCAGCATCACAANCAGATATCTTTTTGATAGTTAGTGATGTAAGTTAGTTTATGGAATCTCCAAGATCAGTGTTATTTAAGGCGTAAAGCGAACCGAAGCATACNCAGATATCTTTTTGATAGTTAGTGATGTAAGTTAGTTTATGGAATCTCCAAGATCATACTGATAGATCTCCTATTCATTCCGAGCCAAGATCAAACTCGTGGCTGTCAGCATCACGAATTATCTCAGCGCAAGTATGTGTTGGATCTCCTTGTTGAAACAGGACTTACAGGCACAAAACCAGCTGATACTCCTATGGAATCTAATACAAAACTGACCACTGATCAAGGGGAGTAATTTAAATATCCACAATGTTATAGACAACTAGTAAATTAAATTATTTGACTTTTGTCAGATCAGATATCTCTTTGGTGGTTAGTGTTGTAAGTCAATTTATGGAATTTCCAAGAATACCTCAGTGGGAGGCACTTATTAGAATCTTGAGAAATTTCAAAAAGGCTCCTGCACAGGGATTACTATATAAATCTCATGGACATTTGCATGTGGTTGATTTTACTAATGCAAGTTTCGCTAGTTCTCCATCAGATAGAAAATATACCACAGAGCATTATATATTTCTTAGAGGAAATTTGGTGACTAGGAAAAGTAAGAAACAAAGTGTTGTAGCCCAATCAAGTGCTGAGACAGAATATAAAACTATGGCTCAGACTACTTGTGAATTGATATGGCTATAGAATTTATTGCATGAGATTGGTATTCTAGTGACCTTTCCAATGCAATTTTTTGTGATAATCACAATGCACTTTATATTGTTTCAAATCCTATTTTTCATCAACGAACAAAACATATTGAGATTGATTGTCACTTTGTTCATGAAAAGCTTCAATCTAAGGAGGTTACTACATGTTTTGTATAGTTTGCAGATCTATTACCACACATCTTCACCAAATCACTCGCTAGAAATAAAGTCATTACCATCTGTTCCAATGTAGGACTATTTAACATCTTTAGTCCAGCTTGAGGGGGAGTGTTATAAATGAGGGCTAATAGCATCATTACCCTATACCCACATGTGTACACATATATCACTCTTTTTAGTCAATNCACCAAATCACTCGCTAGAAATAAAGTCATTACCATCTGTTCCAATGTAGGACTATTTAACATCTTTAGTCCAGCTTGAGGGGGAGTGTTATAAATGAGGGCTAATAGCACCATTACCCTATACCCACATGTGTACACATATATCACTCTTTGGGGTCATAATTTGGNCTCTCTCTCTCTCTCTCTCTCTCTCTCTCTCACACACACACACACACACACAATATACTCTTTACACAAACAAATACAACTTAATAGTAGCATATTTGTATAATGAAAAGCATTCAAATCACAAGAAAACAAAATAGTTTAAACATCATCAAAATAAAGAAATAGCGAGCTACAATTACAATTTAGGGTTAGGGTCATAATTTGGGGTTGCATAAATCATAAGATCAATTTGGGGGTTTGAGTTGCAATTTGAGGTTGAAAATTTGAGGAAGCGGGGTCACGACCCACCCCGTTTGGAAACGTACAACCCCGGTTCGTGCGACACTTAGGTTATCGATGGCCCTGTATCTAATGGTTTGAGCTATGCAATCTACCAGAAAAACGGACTCTGTAATGTCAACTATTGAACACAATGTTTAGAATCTGACTTGGACATCAAGAAAGCAAACTGGGTCACCAATCTGGCTCATAGAGCAAGCAAACTGTCAGAGCATCTCTAACATCACNCCAATACGATAATCAGCTAAAAAAAAGCTTTACCAAGACCATCAAAAATCCAAAAATTTAGACATACATAATTAACATAGGAATATATGTTAGTTCAAAGACACAAACATATCATAAGTACATGCATCAACACACCGAGGGGGGGGGAGNACTATGTGCTTAGATATCCAATGCACCATTCTAGACTAAGTCTCAAGCTTCCATATTCAAGAGAGAGTTAAAAAACCAGGGCACAACCTAGAACCAGTAAGAAACATATAAGTCTAGCCCTACAAGTAATCAATGGGATAAAATTCTACATAATAAAATTACTGGACAATTTCAGCACTTTTCAGACTGTTGAAATTATTGTATACAGGTCGTTTAAAGCATGCATGTCACATGAGAATGGACCACTGCCGTAAACACCTGTGCTAACATAAAACAACTGAGAATCAACTTTTAAAAACAAGATATATATATTTGCACGTGCGCACGCATGCANGCATGCATGTCACATGAGAATGGACCACTGCCGTAAACACCTGTGCTAACATAAAAAAACTGAGAATCAACTTTTAAAAACAAGATATATATATTTGCACGTGCGCACGCATGTATATATATCTATGCAATATACATACATATATCGAATCCAATCAGTTCTCTGAAAGTTCCACTTCCAAGTATTTAACTATGTAAAGCACCCACGGGTATGCTGTTTGCAAGATAGTAATCATGCTGTACATTGGTACCTTATCCTGTTGAACTAGTAGCTTGCATTTTAAAAAAGGAAAAAAGTTTTTCCCCGACAATAGCAAGAGAGATCAACTTGTATACTAGAGGAAAACAAAAAGGAAACATTCTTTTTCAAATTGTAAATACATTAGAAATCCACCATGCGTGAGAAGAGATGACAGAACGTCCTGCACACCATTAGACTGGGAGATAAAAATTGCTATTTTAACTTGTTCAAGCTTGAATAAAAATTGTAAAATTTGAGAAAGAGAGAGAGAGGGACAGCAGAAACCTGCGAGGTTGCAGTGAGTCCATTGTACATGGTTATTGGCAGTGCAACAAACGGAGAGGAAGAGAGAGAAGAGGCATGGGTCTAGAGAAACAGACAAGATATTGGCAAAAAATGTGTATGAATGAGAGAAGGGAATTGGTCTTTTCTGGAAAAATATTTGCTTTATCCTCAATGTGACCCATCAAGACTCTTGAAAATTCGAAAAGCCAAAAAATGCACCAAAGAAGGTAAATATATGTTGTGAGAAGCCTACCTAGTTTCCACATTTAACTGTTACATTGCATAAACAAAATAATGGCAAACATGCAAGTACCCGCACATATATCTCAGCTATTAACATAGCTTCAGCATGCTTGCATGGAAATCCTACCTGAACCGTTGCCAAGAGGGAACCAGTACCCTTCACGTATCGATAATAACTTTTTGTAAAACAACAACACCGCTTTGAAGCAGGATAGACAATATCTATGATCTTTTAAGGGATTCTGCAAATGGAGGGGTAACTACGCAATAGAGATAATATAATAAATAGCCTACAAAAGCAATCAGCAATCAACAATGAACAAGGATACCCATGGCACTTCCCCATCGCTCTACCAAGCTTAATGGAACAAAATACTGGTTTGAAGAGCTGAAGGATTCATTTCCTTCATCAGTTTCCTCCAATGTTTCAGAAACATCTGAAGAAACATTGGCATGCAAAAGGCCAGATTCTGAATCCCCTTGTTTGCAATAGTTCTTGAGTTCAAGAAAACTCTCTATAGGCACACAAGCTTGAAGCAAATTATCCCAACCCTCATGTGCTTGTTCACCTTCATTGATCATGGTGTTTTCATCACGCCCATATAATAGGCCTGGGCCCAAAAGAAGCTGCATGCTGAACTGTGGGTTCCCAAATGATAAAGGTTTTCTTTTGGCCTGTAGTTGGGATTGCATATATTACATTCCATTCATAATGCTTGGAAACACACTACACAACCAAATCCTCAACAAAGTTGGAGATAAAAAAACTGCATGCGTGTTCAGCAGTTACATTCACAAAACAACCGAGATTTAATTATTAACTCGTCATCTAGGAAGTACAGATACGGATACAGACACAAACACAAACACAGGAATATGGCAACATCCAAAATATAAGATACGGGTAAGGCTATGACTAATTAAAATAATATAATATATTTTTTAAATAAAAATAGAATTATAATATCTTAAAAACAAAACAGATTTTATAAAAATATTAATAATAGATATTGCAAATATTAATTTGTTGATGAAAATTGAATTNCTTCATTGATCATGGTGTTTTCATCACGCCCATATAATAGGCCTGGGCCCAAAAGAAGCTGCGTGCTGAACTGTGGGTTCCCAAATGATAAAGGTTTTCTTTTGGCCTGTAGTTGGGATTGCACATATTACATTCCATTCATAATGCTTGGAAACACACTACACAACCAAATCCTCAACAAAGTTGGAGATAAAAAAACTGCATGCGTGTTCAGCAGTTACATTCACAAAACAACCGAGATTTAATTATTAACTCGTCATCTAGGAAGTACAGATACGGATACAGACACAAACACAAACACAGGAATATGGCAACATCCAAAATATAAGACACGGGTAAGGCTATGACTAATTAAAATAATATAATATATTTTTTAAATAAAAATAGAATTATAATATCTTAAAAAAAAACAGATTTTATAAAAATATTAATAATAGACATTGCAAATATTAATTTGTTGATGAAAATTGAAATAGATTAAAAAAAGCATCCACCATTTTCATCAAACATCAACATTCACAGTATATAAGTTACATAACAAAAAACACTAAAAAAAAAAATTAAAGAAATCACACTCCTCGTAATAGTTAGCAGTCAATTTTTTATAAAAAAATCATGGTCGTGTCCAACTAAGGTCACTACTCCAGACACTTCTAGCCGTGTTAGACACATGTTCAGTCGTGTCCAACACGTTGCCACGGCACCTCTCGAGAAGTATCCGTGCTTCCTAGCTCATCATCCGCAAAAAAGGACAATAAGGCTGCCGAGCAAAAGTTTTTCAGCTGAAGGAAAAAAAATGATATAAGCAATTGCCATGTGTCATACAGGTATTGACAGAAGCTTATGATAAGGGGAAAACTATTAAGCATGTGTCTAAGCCTATTTCCGCGANATACAGGTATTGACAGAAGCTTATGATAAGGGGAAAACTATTAAGCATGTGTCTAATTTCCGCAAGTCAGAAACCCTGATCCATGCACTAATCCTTCTATAGTAGGAAGACAAGATCGCAAGGGAATCACTAGTTACATGCCTTCTATCTACTTAGGCAACCTGAATCCGCATATACCGCCAATAACAATGAAGGGTCATCATGGACTATTTACTCCCATTTGAGGATAGGTGCTGGCATATGAAGCAGAATAACTAAACCATTTCAATTTTTATGAAAGATTACATGTGAATCGCCATTGAGTTGTGGTCCAAATGGACAAAGCACCCAAATGAAAATGATGTTAAGAAATACTCATAAAAAGGAAAAATCATAAAACGCCCTTCCCTACTAAAACGGCAAAGAGTTTCCCGTTCATGAACTTCATCTAGAAGCATTTTCTCTAATCTCACAGATTCACCAATACGATAATCAGCTAAAAAAAAGCTTTACCAAGACCATCAAAAATCCAAAAAATTAGACATACATAAATAACATAGGAATATATGTTAGTTCAAAGACACAAACATATCATAAGTACGTGCATCAACACACCGAGGGGGGGGGGAGAGAGAGAGAGAGAAAGACCAGGCAGAAGTAACGTGGCCTAGAATAGGGCACACCAAACTGCAGTGGGCTCAAAATGCACTCCTGTATAAGAAAATGAGTTTCTTCCAACATCTCAACCATTTTCCTATGTGTATCAGATGTCTGCAACAAAATTTTGAAGTAACATCAAGGCCATAACAGAGCTGATAACATGAGTAAATATAACAACAAATTACAGTGAGCTGAATCTTTGCATTGCAAACCTCGAATCCAACAACATTCTCCACAAAGAGCATCAGTGGAGGTCGCAAAGTTTGTGGTATAAGTTCGAGAATTTTGAGAAAAGAGGAGGCCCGAGCATCACTTGAGTCTTTTTGGAGACCTAATCACAAAAGGATTTGAGAATACACCACTAAATAATCACACAAAAAGCAAGAAGAAAACAAGAATCCACCTTGTCTAGTGTAAGGCTGGCAAGGAGGAGAAAGAAGCCATGCATGCGCCTGGTAGCTGTCAAGATCAGCAGCACGCAACGTTTGAATATTACCCTATGCTCGCCAAAAAAGAGTAACTAGAACATATCACATCAATGAGATTGCTAAAAAACATTGGTAACAAGGGTTAAAAGCCATACTCTGGAATCTGGATAGTTATTTAAGTTTTGCTTCAGCTAATTGCAGGATGTTCATAAGAAGAATCTGCAGAACCTATCTACAATGATCCTGCCTGACCCAATATTTTATATGCTACAATCAATTCCTATCATGGGTCTATACCCAACAACCTTATCCTTATGATATTCACATTGGATTTGAATCTTCTTGTTGGTGGAGGAAAAGGGCAATGAAAAGGGTGAGTTGTCGAATATTGTTTCTCCTTATTTTCCAGTTGTTCAACCACTTCATTTTACCAAGTTCAATGTAAGAATATGTATGTGTTTGATGCAAAAAGAGAACTTCAAAGAGGAGTTGTACAATCTTGGACTGACCCTCTTTCAATCACCTAGAAAGAAAAAGAAGTGTGTACTACCATGACACTTCTAAACTCCTTCCTCATGACACTGTTGTGTAGCCCATGGGAACAGGATAGTAATGTCTCTAAGATCATATTTAATTTTGACTCTTCATTGAATAATCTCATCAACCCAACAAAGATACAATCAGTTGCATAGCCATATAATCATCAATTTCCAGAAACACTTTAAACAATAATACTGAGACACAAGTGAAATAGTTCTACAACTCTCCATTGACTAGTTTATTTCATTTCCTGAACCCTCACATAATTGATATAGAGCTCCAACATTCTGCCTCTATACCATTTATTCATTTTTGTGTAATCCTCTGATAATAAAGTAGTGAACTTGACAAGAAGAACATCACTTCCATTTCATTTCCAATATTTTATTAGAAACCAAACAGAACCCTTCTTTCACTTGAACAAAACAAAAAAGAAGAAAAACTCCATAGCCAATTGTTACAGATAATAGGGAAACAAAAAATTACAAAACTTATGTATTTAAATACCTGATAGGGTCGGTGTCCGAAGTTGTGCGCATAAACATCGTTAGCGACGTCGTTTATGTCGAAGGCTTCCACCATAGTTGCATTCACACCAGCCTTCATTATTGAATATCTCTGCACATACCCATTCGAAAGAAATGCTTACAACATTGGATGTTTATATACACACACACACACACACATATATATATATAAAGAGAGAGAGAGAGAGAGATAGTAGGAGTTTGAGGTGGCTACCATGCCACCGATACCACTGTAGAATTCGAGAACTCGCCATGGCTCTTCCTTGCGCTTGCTTAAACCCTCTTCCTCCATTGAGTTGTGGGCGAGTATAGCGTAGACGAAGAAGCTCCACCAGCTTTAAACCTGAATACACCCTCAAAATGACGTCGTTTATAGATCTTTTTTCTCACGTCGTATCGCTTTAATTACAATCACACCGCCTTGTAGTGATGACATAAGCATAGAGACATTTCATTGTTTGGGGAAATTATACCTGTACTGTACCCCAATCGATGTTTGTAGCCAGGGGTGCCTAAGGGTCGGGTTACCCACGAGTTTCATTATTTGAGTCGAAAAAAATAGGTCTAAAATTCAATAAGTTTGATAATTGACCCGTCTGAGTCCGAGTCCAATATCCTATAAAAAAGGATTTAGATTTATCCTTAAACCCACTACCCAGCCCGAAGTCTAGCCCAAAAATCGAAATCCGACCCAATAACCTGTCCACACACCCGGCCCAATACCCGTCCACATACCATATATATAATATACTTATCTATATTTATACTACTAATAAAAGTACATTATTTAGAAAAAATTTTGATCGACTACTTTAACCGTAAGCACAATATATAAAGATAATACTAGTCTTATTTAATTTATAACTCATTTTAATAAGTCTAGATTGATGTTAAACTTTTAATTAAACAACTTGACTCGCACAATACTAACATTATTAATATGGAATTTATATTAATAAAACTTCATTAATATTACACATAGTTAAGTCTTTTATATTCTTTCTTTTAAAAGATAAAAATAAATTGTTAAAATAATTAAATTTATTATTATTTATTTTTATCTATTTTTATTAATTGATGACAAGTTTTTGAATTTTCAAATGAAATTGCATAAATGCACTAGAGTCTTATTTAATATAAGATTTATTTTAATATAATTTGGATAATATTATCAAACTCTTATTTTTCATTTTCTTCTCTTTTATGTTTTAGTTTTAATAAATCCTCTTTAGTTATGTTTATTGGTAATACTATAAGTCATTTTATTTGTATCGATTATCAATGCTATGAATATATTCAATATTACATTAAATTATTTATTACAACTTAATTTTTAAAATTTGTTCAACCAATTTTTATAATTAAATGACCACCATAACTTAAAATAGTTCGCTTCCAACAGACCCAACAAAGCCCGCCCAATAGGTGACGGGTGGGCTGCGGGTAGTTTACCCCTACCCGAGCCCAACCCGGCCCTGCCCGCTGCTCGCCTAAGTATGAGCTTAGGCTTATACTATCCAAGCCCGACCTGAAAAAAAATTCACAGGCAAAACCCGGCCCCGCCCATGGACAGTCCTATTTGTAGACTTGATAGAATTTTGAGACTTTTTTGGTTAAGTTCTGAAAAATAGTTTTTTATTCTCAAAATTTTAAAAACACTTAAAATTTATTTACTTAGTATTTTTGTTTTCAAAATTTTAGAAGAAAATGAAATTTGAAGCCCAACAAGCTTAACTTGTTTTCGGCTCTTTATGCTGAAAATCTTAAAAACACAAAGAACATGGGGCTTTAATGAGGTATTCCCTTCAAATTCCCTTAGCAACAAAATTCTATAGGCTTCCTCTTTTTTTGTTGTCTTCCTCTCTGCCTGACTCTCTCTCTCCACTTGCACTCTCAAACAGAACAAACACAGAAAGAGTCACAATTTTCTCCAAATCGACTTTGCCTCTCCAAATATGAACACACACCGATGAGTGCATTCTCTCTCTTCGCATTTGGGTTTAGTGTGTCTATGGTAGTTGTGGGGTTTCGGTGGTATTTTGTGTGTTTTGGTGGTGGTGGTTTTTAGTGGTTGTGATTTTCCGTTCTTTGTGAGTTTTTAGTAGTGCTTGGTGCTTTGTGGGTGTTGATGCACAGTGAAAGAGAGAGAGACAGAGAATTGAAGCGAGAGGTGGAACAGGAGAAAATTGTGAATTATTGTTCAAACAAATTTTATATTTTTTGTACTTTAAAACTATTTTTAAAAATATATAATTAAATAGGTTTTATCTAAAAAATTTTAAAAACATTTTCTTAAAACTCTTTCCAAAAATAGTTTTCGGATACTGTTTTTTGAGATACAAACCAAATAGCTAGCCCTTGCTTTTTGAATTTTCAGCTTCATCATTGACTATGGTTAAGGTTGAACATTCATTTATTTCTTGTTTTTCTCTCTTTTTTTTCTTTTAAAGAATCCATCAGACACTTGCCCACCCTTTGACCAATCTCTCTCCAATTCATAATGAAAAATGTATGTTTGGCAAAGCGAGACAAAAAAATTCATGCTTTTAGTGAATATAAATATCATAATTGGTGTATACGTGCATTACACGAAAACTTTTGCGAATTATAGTTTAGTTAAAAGAATTTTGTTCTGTTTTGTATATTTTTGTTCTAGAATGAAACATTATCCATTAAACCAAAAAAATTGAACAAAAGAAGAGATAAAAGAATGTACCAGGCAAAAAAAAGAGATCAAATGAACTTTGCGCCACTGTGTGAGTAGGCAGATTTGCAATCTTGTGGCTGAACTGAATAATGTTGAAAGTATATGGGCAAGTGTTTAAGAGATCTATCCTCATTGACATTTGATTGTTTTCCTTAAGTTACCAGTATTCTTTCAAGAGCATATCCCATAACAAAATGGTGGAATCAATTGCACTTGCCCTTAAAAAGGTAAAGGACTTTTCAATTAAGAGCTAGAGTGCCATTTGGGTTTCTTCTAAGTCCGAGTTGAGCAATAACTATTTTGTGTTACCTACATAACTTTCGATGTTTAACTTATTAATATATCCTCAAGTATCATTTATAGTTTTGTCTTGTGTCTGGATGAGAGTCGCCGGATGAACCCTATTCAAACAAACCAACTAAACATCATATGATTCAGGTTAATGGTTTGAAGAGTTGAATTTATGCCTTCCATTGTTGCTAAAAAGGCATTAAAACAACCATATATTGTGGCCAATAATTTTTTGAATGATTAATGGTTTACAATGTCAAATAATGACTTGGAGTGCGAACAAGAGAAGCACACATTTGTATAAACGTATTCAAAAATTTTAACATATACGACCCAAAAAAAAAAAGAAGAGAGAGAGAGAGAGAAAAAATAAGTGGATCAAAGTAGGGGGGTTCATGGGTCAGGTTGGCTCATGAGGTCCTGTTACCCAACTAGAAAATACTAGCACAATAATTGGTCTACCCAAGTCTAAACCTAATATCCTCCAAGAAAATGTTTGGTCTAGCCCTCAAACCTATTACATGCCCCATGAACCCACCAGCAAAAACCCCGCCTAAGAGCTAGCCCGCCAGCCTAGCCCAACCCACCCAACCTGTCTGCCCTTCCACGCAATTGTTTGAAAAACAATTGACCATTAAAACTTCAAAAGTTTGGTGGCAATATATGAATCTAGTTGAGATGTGTTCATTCTATTATGACGCAGTTCTTCTCCTATTTATAAATAAAATTATTCATTATTTAATTTGTATTCATTTTGACTCTATTTTTAATTAAAAAATATAATTTATAAAAATATTAAGTTAGAAACTTTTTAAATGAAAGTATCTGAAGTTCGGCCCGGCCTGACCCACCTAATAACTCGCCGCAGGATTTAGGCCTACTCTACTTAGATCTAACTCGAAAAAAGATTTGTGGGCCTAGTTCGGCCCAATCCATGGACACCCCTAGAACAAAGGGTGCTCTACAATAGTTTCAATCCTTCAATAGTATGCAAACAATTAAAGGTTGAGGAGCAAAAAAAATAATTTTTTGCCTTCAAATGAAGACCCTACCAACATAGATGCTGGAGAAATTCGTTACACACTATCGTCCCATATCTTTACGAAACAAATTCACACAAGAAAAATGAATATGTCTCATAGAAGATTGTATAATACGCTTTTGTCTAATTGAACAAAGGCCAACTTCATAAACGAATAACGCCTATTGGATATGTAACTACAGCCATCTCATATCTAATTAAAAAATCACTACAAACAACTCATCTATAAGTCTTGATACTAGCCTTGCAACCCATTTGTGTAAGAGTTACTCTCCGATTACCCTCCAATTCCTTGAAGAAGCAAGATGGCCATGCCATTTACTTAAAAAAAAAAAAAGACTAAGCCAGCTATCAACCAAGGACCTTAGAGATATTGTCACTTTATTAAAAAGCAGCAAGCTATAATCAAAACTACCAACTTGGATGGCGAACCAAAACATCAAGGTAAGAAAGTTGATCGGAAAGGAAGGATCAACAAGACAAGAATTGCACCCTAAATAACGTCCATCAATGTGAAATAAAGAGCTTAGCCTGGCATCGTATTCTTGAATAAATATTTATTTCACCAAAAAATTATCTGGTTAAAATTAATTCGAATGTCCCAATATTGGGAAAAAATCCAAGTTTCTCGATATTAAAAAAATATCTAAATGTCCCAATGTTAGTTAACAAAATTAAAACTAAAAATAGGTTGAGAAAAAGTATAAAATAACTGAACAGGTTTATAATTCAGAAAGTGGTTGACAATATCGAGCAACATAACTCATAAACATCTATGTAATAAGATAGCTCACAAGTTAAATTTTATTCCCTACACATTTTCTCTCCCAAAAAATTACATTACTCATTTCTATCACATGTCCAATTATTTTAATATTTGATTAATTTACAGTTTAACATAATTTTTATTTCAAACATTATTAATGCACGATAGTATACATACGTTGAGAAAATTTTATCGAATTACATATTTCGAAAAAAAAATTGTTGATATTTTTAAGAAAATAATGGATAAACATAGATTTTAAATGATGTAATCAAAGAAATGATGAAAGAAAAATTATTATTTAATATAGTAGGATAAATTTTTTTGGGCGCTCGAATTTTCTGTGTTCATCGTGTCTTTAGGCACGAGTTATGACTAAATTTTATACATTTTTGTTGAAAGCAATCACCCAAAGTCAGTCCCTCGCATTGTCGTTCTTCAAGTATTTCTTTTTTAGATACTTAATATAGATGAAGAATACATGAAGATAGGTAATCAGTACATATTATTTTGAGGGTATGCAGAATACATTAGGTAAATAGCCCAAAAAAACTGATGCTTCATACAAAATCTGTTTGGGCAAAAAAAAGATGATGCTCCAACCATTATTGCAAATCTCCTTCCATACTAAACTCTGATGTTCTACCGGCCAGAAATTCAATCAACTCACATAAGATCTCTTTTCCTGCTAAAATATGTAAATATGTTCAAACTATAACATAATAGCCTGAATTTTGAGGGTCATCTGACATACTGTTAATATGCACAAGAGAACTCAAGAGCCACAAAATCTATTAAGAGAGCATATGAAATAATTACAAACTGTAATTTGCTCCGGCCATGTGGGTTTTTTTCCAATAGTTTTAATTCATTCATTGATGTATTTATTTGACCTTTTACTTTCCAAAGGGTAAGGTATCTTTGTAGAAGGACACAATCAAAATCATAATTTGATTGTTCCCGTCTTGAATTCGGATTAGTCGGAGGCCGTTGTGGCTTTCGGATACCAGATAGTATAGACCCAAAAAAAATAAATCATAATTTGAATATTTAAATGGAAAATGATAGTATTGGTATTAGTTATTTTATTAAGATTATTATAGTCAATAAAAAGTATTACACTTTTGTTGACATGTAATATTAGTATAGATATAGATATAGATATGATGATCTCGTGAGCAATAAGTTGGAATAGTAAGAAGTTGTTGTACTAGAGACTTAAGATAGAGATTCACAACAAGGGTGGAACCAGGGAGGAAATTGAGGCTAAGAGAAGGGTTGAAGATTTAGGTAGCTGTCATTGATGAGTTTGATTTTAAATTTGCTTGTATGTGTGACATATTTGGCGAATTGAGGTGGCATAAGTTTGCTATTAGTGGTAAACAAAATAGGGGATTTGCGATCTCTTGTGTTGAGTTGTTAGTAGTACTTCTTGTAGTTAATGTCTCTAATCTGAATGAGTGGACCGAAATAATAGAAACTTACTATAGACAGAATATGGGTAAAATGATGCTTTCAAATTAATTTTTGACACGTGTTAAAAAAAAATAGTTCTTGACATACAAGGGAAGGGAAGGGAAGGGAAGGGAATAGCCATAGAGTAAGGGAGAAAAATGAAGATTTTGTTGTAGTATAATAGTCATCACAATCCTTTTCTAGATATTTGGAAGGAGGGTTAGTGCGAGCATCTCATATTAGATATAATTTCTTTTGTTGTCAAAGAACTTGAACGTGTCTTTTACCCGATAATTTCAATCTTAGGAAGTGCATTCGTGAAACTAATAGGAAGATTTTTGTTCCTTTTTTTTCTCTTCTTGCTTTTTTCTAGAAAAATAAATAAAATTTGGATTTTACTATAAATATTCCTTTATATCACCGTTTTATACTCCAATATCTTACTCTTAAGCTGAGAACAATATGGATAATCTTTATTTCCCTATTTCATTTATTTGTCATAACACCGTCCTTTTCAACCCTATAATCATCTGGTTTACCTAATACGAACAAAATTTTTGGCAAAGATAGTATCCATTTATCTATCTAAAAATTGATACCCGTGGCATCATGAACTTGCCACTTAAGACCTTTTCTCCATATCCTAAACTATATAAACTAAAATAATCTAAAGTAACATATAATCATTAATAATAAGCAAATATAGTCCTTTGAAAAACATAATTAAGCTAATAAAATCATCAATAATAAGAGTGGTCTGGCAAAAGAGCAATTAGATTCCAATAGCCCGGCGCAATTATATTCCGCTGGCGTGCAAAGCTTCACATTACATGGAGTTAAATTGAGACATTGAAACTAATGAACAGCTATCTTTTTAATTTAGTTATAATCAAGATCACAGAGCGCGGGAGCGGAGGCGAAAGTGAGAATGTAAAAACGAAAAAATTCAAAAAAATATTAGAGCGGAAGCATCTTATTATATACATATAATTTAACAAAAATTAAATTTTATATATAAATATGTGACAAACTTTTTATTTTTTCACTATGAGTTGATTATCAGGTCACAAATGATAGCCACAAATTCTAAGCATTATTTAAGTTTAACAAATATCCACAGAGTATTCTTTTATTAGATGTAGATGGTTATATCCAGATTTGTTGAAGTTTGTCACTTAATCACTTAAACTCCCTGACATTTAAAATAAGACACATAGATCTTTTGAGATTTGTACATGTGTAACACTTAAATTCTCGCCGTCAATAACCGTTACTAAATTCATTAGTACATTATACTCAGACCCCCTAAAATTTGTAGGTATATAATACTTAGACCTTTCAAGTTTAAAATATTACACTTAAACCACTTATCAGTTACAGAACTAACGAAATCTATTAAATGATTACATTATTTCAATTAAAGATAGAAGATATTGTATCAATTACGGTTTAACCATTTGTTTGGGTTTTTTTGTTTTATTCTAATAGATAGTATAATAGTATACTAATTATTATTATTTTTTTTAAAATTAAATTTTTATTTTTGATTTTATTTGAACAAATGTCATAATAGAACATGAATTTTAGTTATAAAATTTCAAATATTTGATATTATATATTTGATTGAAGTATTTTTTGTCTAAGTATAATATTTTAAACTTGGATAGTCTAATATATTGCATGCCTAAAAATTTAGGGGGTCTGAGTGTAATTTACAAACGGATAATCTAATGGACAATGACCACAAGAATCTAAGTATTATGTTCATACAAACCTCAAAGAACTTGTGTGTAATATTTTAAATGTTAAGGATTCTAAGTGATTAACTGATAAATATCAGATAATTTGAGTATAATTATCCCAAAATTATAAGTTAAAATACCTGGTGGCGTCAGTCATGTTTATAACAACGTCATCAATCCAATGCGGTCACGACCACGATTATAGATGGGACTTAACATGATTCATTTTTAATTTTTTGATCATTTAATATAGGGTTTTTAATTTTTTTGAATGTTTATCAGTAAAAAGGATTTACTTTATTAATTTGACTTAAAAATCACGACTTTTAAAAGATAACTGACTTTATTAATTTAAATATTAATTTTAGGGAGTTATTTGGATCAATAGTTTGGGGTAAAAATGATAATTCACATTCAATTCGTGAAATAATTTTTTAAATTCGTTGATTTAATAATTTAAATATGAGATTTTTTTTGTTTAATTCACCGAATTTATAATTGAATTCACGAATTTTTTTAGTCCAATTCGTGAATTGGTAAAGTTGAAACATAGTGCCATGAAGTGATATTTGGGTGTATCAGATTTACTCGAACTAAATTTTTTAGTTGGACAAAGATTAAAGTTATTAACTAGTATCTACAAATAAGTTCTAACCCTGATGGGATTCTGATATTATAGTAAAACAACGGCTCCAACAGAAGTACTATAGAATTTCTATCAAATCACGTAAATTTCATATTGCAGATTCACCAATAATAACCAACCCAATGGCATAGAGCAATGCTACAAGAGCTGCTGTATACATAGATTACAATGATTCCAAATCTGCACGAGGAGAAAACCAGTTTAATCTCATGATCAAGCACAGCCAATAGACAACAACATGCTGCCAAATTTCTGGGGAATAAAACTATGATGTGGGAGAGAGAACATATAGATGTACCAATGAAGAGAACCTTGAAATTGTCGTTTAAACAGTTGGGAATGAAAGTTGTAATACCCGCCCAAACTCAAGCGAAGTGACCAATGACAAGAAACAACTAGAACGTAGAGACAGTTTTTCATGGGAATCAACTCAACAACCCTAAAGCTATAAAAGACCCACCATTATGGCATCAAAGCCATCATTGAACTTCAAGCCTCTACCATTTCATTTCTCTGTCTCTCTTCATTCGTTTTTTTTTTGCTGTTAGGTCCAAGATTGAGAGAAAATGAATAATTATACTCACTATACTCCTCTTCCTGCTAACTTAATCCCCGACGAGGCCAACCCGCCATGGAACAACAAAGGTGACAATGCATGGCAGCTCACCGCTGCAACGCTTGTCGGTCTCCAGAGCGTGCCGGGCCTTATTATCCTCTACGGAGGTGCTGTGAAGAAGAAATGGGCGGTTAATTCGGCCTTCATGGCACTATATGCTTTTGCTTGTGTTCTAGTTTGTTGGGTTTGTTGGGGCTATAGACTGTCCTTTGGAGATAAACTTATTCCTATATGGGGCCAAATTAACGTGGCATTGGAACAAGATTATCTTCTTCAAAATGCGTTTTTGGGTTATTTTCCGAACGCAACGATGGTGTTTTTCCAATTTGTTTTTGCAGCTATCACTTTGATTTTGATTGCTGGGGCTGTGTTGGGGAGAATGAATTTCTATGCATGGATGTTGTTTGTTCCTCTCTGGCTGACCTTCTCATACACCTTTGGAGCATTTACTATTTGGTCTACTAATGGTTGGCTATCTACTCGTGGGATTATTGATTATTCTGGTGGGTATGTGATCCATTTGTCCTCTGGAGTTGCTGGATTCACAGCTGCATATTGGGTATTAAAGAATAATTTCTCCCAAACTCTTCTGTTTGTTCATTGATGAATTATTGCAGAAAAAAATTCATGTTTTTTCTCTTTCGCTGGCCATTAAATTTTACAATTGAGACTAGAGATGTTAATTGAGTCCAACATTCCAAGTTTCTATATGCTCATATTTGGTCTTAGTTGAGTATCATAGACTAGAACTCAGCTTAACCTCAGTTACCAAGCTTCGATTATTGCTCAAGTTCTACTCATTGTCATATGTTGAAGTTCAATTTAACTCGGCCAAAAAACACTCATCTAATGGGACCTGAATGCTAAATATTTTAGTTAAATGTTAGTCACAGTCTCCATTAAGTTTAGAGCCCTATTTTTTCATATTGTCGTCATCACCAAAAATATTTGTTAATAGATAAACAATGTTTATTTATTATTGAATTTTAGCCTCCCTAGTCGAGCAACACTTCTTTGGCTCAACTTGAATATTAAATGAGCATTTTAATTTGATTATATTTAGCCAATATTTTTAAAATAAATGAGTTACAAATGTATAGAGACCCAACTAAGTTGGAACGACTCAATTCCTGTAACAACCTTAATTGGAGACTAGAATAAAAAAAAATTATTCCAAGACCGAAATGTTTTGATCCGGTTTAATATTCTATTTTTTCTCAATTTCTTTCATTGCTAAACTATGTATTAAGAATTCGAGTAACACCCATTATCTAAAAGAGAGTACCCTTATCCGTAATAACTGATCCATCGTGAAGGATTAGAGTCAAATGTATATAGTTTTACTCCTGTAAATAAAACAGCTTTTTTTTCATGACTCAATCTTTGGGTTAAATGAAACAATCATACCGTTACAGCAAGACCGCTATGAATAACTGATCTATTATTACGAAAAGCTAATATAAACATATGTGCGTGAAATGGACACATGAATTATCATTTTCTCATTGCAGGTTGGTCCTCGTTCAAACAAGGACAGGGAAAGGTTCCCTCCAAACAACATCCTACTGATGATGGCCGGGGCAGGGTTGCTGTGGATGGGTTGGTCGGGGTTCAATGGCGGAGACCCTTATGCGGCCAACATCGACGCTTCCTTGGCCGTCTTGAACACTCACGTCNTGATGATGGCCGGGGCAGGGTTGCTGTGGATGGGTTGGTCGGGGTTCAATGGCGGAGACCCTTATGCGGCCAACATCGACGCTTCCTTGGCCGTCTTGAACACTCACGTCTGCGCCGCCACTAGCCTGTTGACATGGCTCATTCTCGACGTTGTGTTCTTCGGAAAGGCTTCAATCATTGGTGCTGTCCAAGGCATGATCACTGGTTTGGTTTGCATCACTCCGGCAGCTGGTACCTTCGGAAAACCCTCAAATTTCTGCCGCTAACCCTACACATATGGATATTAAATTTTTGGGTAGATTTATAATTTATATTCTTAAAGTATGCAATAAAGAATTTATTTGCTTCTTGAGGTTGCACCTTCAATAGTTAAATCTTTAAAGTGTTAATTGACTCTCTCTCTCTTTGTTTATTTTTTTCTATAAAAAAAATATTATTTAAATTTATTTAGGCATGCGATGCATTGCTAGTTTCTATAATAATCATTTTCTTTGAGAGGAGGTTTGAAGTCTTTCCTCTTTAACTTTTAAATTTTAGAATTTTAAATTATTTAATACAAATTCAAAATTTTTATTCCAATTAACACATTCTCAAAACATCACGTTAGTTTAATTGACTCATATTTTAGTTTTAATTAATAATAGATCCTCACTTTAAACACCACCTTATACCAACTACTTTTAAAAACTTTCACTTTTAATATAACTATTATTTATCTCAAATTGTTCATCTATTGGTATCAACATTTTTTGTAAATATGGAGAATAACACTAAAACTCCCACTTTTAATATAACTCATTTTTTTAATCTCTAATTGTTCATTTATACTTATTAATATTGATTGCAAATAAAGGCAAAAATACTTTTGTGAAATACTTAATCACACATAGGGGAGTGGGGGTAGGGGTAGGAAGTGGGGTTAGGGGTGGGTGTGGAAAGCGATTTTAAATTTTGTTCATGACACAAGATAGGTGCTAATATTCTTTATTTATGAACCATATGAAACAAAATAAGATTTTATGATCCGAACACAAAATTTTTTTTGTTAGGCAAATATATACTTCTACCCAAATTATGTTGGTTACACGAATGCTTTTCGTCAAAACAAATTAAAGATTTTGAAAGTAAGGATTAAATTAAACTTAATTAAAGCAATTTAGAGACCAAATAGAAACTATATGCGTGTGGAAAGAGTGTAAATTGTAAATTATCATAAACTTTTTGGCCGCGAAAGGTGTGTTTAGTCTCATGAAATTCTTGGGAAAAAAATGTAAATTCTAAATGCCTAGCAAAATTGACACATACGATACGATTGTTGTGCACTAAATTATCTAACACGATGTTGTTGCACTTGAATTTTAGGGGTTGTGCAAGGATGGGCAGCCATAATAATGGGAATTTGTTCAGGTTCCATCCCCTGGTTCACCATGATGGTTGTGCACAAAAAATCCGAGCTCCTTCAGAAAGTTGACGACACGATGGCCGTTCTACACACTCACGCCATCGCCGGAAGCCTTGGGGGCATCCTTACTGGCCTCTTCGCTCACCCTAGGCTATGTATGTTATTCTATGCCGACTACAAGCAGTACGTTGGCCTCTTCTACGGCTTTCACATGGGAGATTTCCGCACGGGATTTAGACAGATAGGGCTTCAACTTCTAGGAATTCTGTTTGTGGTTGTGCTTAACGTTGTGAGCACAAGCTTGATATGTTTGTTTATCCAACTCATTGTCCCTTTAAGGATGTCTGAAGAGGATATGGCTATTGGTGATGAGGCTGCTCATGGAGAGGAGGCTTATGCTATTTGGGGCCAAGGTGAGAGGCTCGAGAGTTCGAAGTTTTCGAATTGCAACGACATTGAAGTGCCGGTGACTACGGGTCAAGTTGAGATGATATGATTTATCATGTTCCGTGATTAAGATGAAATCTATTATATTTTTTTTTCAATTCCGTTCAATGATAGATATTTTCCATATATTCAAATGGAATTCATTTATCCCACATCAATATATGATGAGTGATCTATTATTAAGTGAAATTGTAGAAAAAGTATATTAGAGAGAATCTTTATCCGGCATTCAGAAGGTTACCTCATGTCCTCTGGAGGCCGGGAGAGAAAGCTGTATTTCCTTTGATGTGCTGCATTTGTAGTAGTTTGCAACACAAGATGGCATTATTGCTTCGAGGCCAAAATAGAATAATGGTTCCCTTAAAATGTCTTTTGAATCAATTTGGTCCTCTTTTCTTCAATTGTCAGTTTAATTCGCACAATTTCTAATTTAACTTCAAATGACTAAGTCTGAAGTGACGATTAACAATTACTAGCAGATTGATCAGGTGCACATTGCGTGGTTGGATACGGAGATTTTCATTAGCAATTTGAAACTAATGTCTTTCATTGGATCATCCAAGTTCAAATTGGTAAGTTTAAGCTAAAATGACACAAAAAGAACAAATGGTCGAACAAAAAGAGATGGAACACATGTTATGCAAAGTACTTATATAATTAGAATTAATCAAAAGTTTAAATCACTAAGTATATTGTTATATGTAAACTAATTTAATAAAAGATAATGTTAAAACAGAAACAGTAATGCACTTACTGTAACGCAGAACTGCACGAAAAAAATTCAGAAAACCAGAAAATGATAATAATCTGAGTCTTGTGTAATTATAGTTTTCTTAAGACAGATTTGTTCCCTCTCAGTGCTTAAAGTTGATAAGTAACTGTCTTCCAAGATATAATGAATTTCATTCTTGAAGATACAACACTTCAATCTTCAAGTTTTCAGCGAACACAACTTTGTGTTTATACTTGAATCGAATAAAAAATACTAATGCAGCAATATGTAAAGAGAGAAGAAACTCTAAATATTGAATTCAAAATTAGACTGGATTGAGAATGGCATTGAGGTAGTCTATTTATAGACCCTTCATGCTTGTTCGGATCACCTGAAGAGTCACAAGAAGCCCCTGTTTGGATCGAAGAGATGCACCTTCAATTTGAATAGATACAAAAAGAAAAGGCACCTTTGTATTAAACAGACACAGGAGAAACATCTGAAGAACAAACTCTCGCACCAAAATCAATTTAAAGGGTAGAAAAAATTTAAAATCTGGTTGGACTTTGAAATTTTAGTTGGAATACAATCCGCGTTTAGATATGTTTGGTTTGACCCATAACATGCACCACACCAAATAAACTTTGTCAAAAAGGATTATATTTTTTTGATCCAAGCCTAAGTCCAGCCCCGTCGGGGAGAATGGTAACCAAAGCAGTGTAGGGACTTGCTCTGCTCACAAAAGTGTGGTACTTCTCAACCCATGAAGTCAACTAGAAGTATATTAACTCACTAAGTGTTGATCTTNATAACCAAGGCAGTGTAGGGACTTGCTCTGCTCACAAAAAGTGTGGTACTTCCCAACCCATGAAGTCAACTAGAAGTATATTAACTCACTAAGTGTTGATCTTTTTCCAATGTGAGATAAACCTTATTCCATTTCATCAATCTTAGTTATTTTGTCACTTTGAATAGATCACTTTAAGACATAATTTCTCATTCAATACTTAATGGTTTTAAACAAATAAATATACAACGTTCATCTCCTCGCGGAGGAGAATGTGTTTGAACTTGGTTCCACCAATTTTGAATTGAAGATTCCGCTTTTATTTAAGCCTTAAATTGCTCAAAATACTTTGTTTAAAATCATTTTTTCCAACAACACATAATTTAGGGATTATTACGATGTTTTATCATTTTTTCCACAGGATGGTTGGATGCATTAAAGCCCTAAAACAAAGGAGTATATGCTCCCGAGAGAAGATAATATAAGCTCTGAATCAACTCTAGTTATAGTAGCTATGACAAGAAATGTGAGTGAATCCTTTGCATGACTGACACTCTTTGATTCTTTATTTTTAAGCAATCAATTCATTTTTTCTTTTCGATACAAAATAATGAATATACAGATACACTACTCTAAATATTCGGTATAGGGCAATATCATTTAGTATCACATAGTTATCTGTAGGGGACTTCACTATACCTACGTATTACAACACATGTTCTGGGAGCTAAATAGTAGGTTTAGCCCTAACGAGCTATCGTAGCTATGGAGACTTGAACCCAAGAAATTGAGTAAGAAAATTCGAGTTCTTACCTACTAGGTGAACCACTCATTGGTCAATCAATTCTTCTTTCATTAATATATATATTGCCATCCGGACAACTTCTTTGGGACTATTCAAATATACACTCATACAAGGATATGTGTTATAATTGAACAAAATCTTATTAATCTAAAACTTGGATGTCAGTTTTGATGTTACTCCTAACAAATATAAGGGATGTTATTAGAATTGGACCTAGCTGTTAGGGATGTCACTGAATTTGTCTTACAAAATCAACCTTCTAGGCCAATGAAGTTTCAAAAATTTGTTGATAGTGTCCTACTTATATTCAAATTATTTTTCTTGGTATAAACTTTCCATGCTTTTTGAGTTATTTTACATTCTGATGTAACTTGTNATAAGGGATGTAACTGAATTTGTCTCACAAAATCAACCTCCTAGGCCAATGAAGTTTCAAAAATTTGTTGATAGTGTCCTACTTATATTCAAATTATTTTTCTTGGTATAAACTTTCCATGCTTTTTGAGTTATTTTACATTCTGATGTAACTTGTAAAAAAAAATATGTTTGATGGTGCTCGAAATTACTTAGCCCAAGTGTAGAACAGCGATTGTGCAAGACCCAGTAGAGGGTAGTGTGAATATTTAGATTAGTAAGGAAATAGGAGATGATGAGGGATTAAAAAACAAGATGTAAGTGGTTCACCTTAGCCAAAAAACCAAGGTTACATCCACTGCAATAGAGACTCATACTTCTTGGGGTTTATATTGCTTGAAGAAGAAGATTACAGTGAGTTTCTAGGCTTTAGAGCCTTTGTACATGGTGTCTTGTGAATACAATTTTCTGGAACTCTCTTATACGGTGCATCTGTATTCTATTTATACATGTGGTCATCTAGCGTTTTCTGTGATTCCTTCATTTCATTGTCTAATTATGTGGTCCCCTCTTCCTTTGTCTTGAAGTGGTGTCTGCCACGTTGACGCAAGTTGTGCCCATGATCCTTAAAATAGTATGTGTACAAATATTCTCTTTATTAGCGAGTGCGTGTTCGTCAGGGGCTCTAGAGGCTATTTCCCTGTCCCCTGGACACGTGGCGCAATGGTAGATGCTCGGGANGTTGACGCAAGTTGTGCCCATGATCCTTAAAATAGTATGTGTACAAATATTCTCTTTATTAGAGAGTGCGTGTTCGTTAGGGGCTCTAGAGGCTATTTCCCTGTCCCCTGGACACGTGGCGCAATGGTAGATGCTCGGGATCTAAAGAATACAGAGCTCCTTGTTCTCGGGCTTATCTCCACCGAGCTTGATGTCATGAAGCAGACATATATCGATCTGGGCGTTGTTGGACTCTTTTCCTTGGGTTGTAGCCCATTCCTATGGTAGGGTGGGTAGGCTGCGGATGGGCCNCGAGCTTGATGTCATGAAGCAGACATATATCGATCTGGGCATTGTTGGACTCTTTTCCTTGGGTTGTAGCCCATTCCTATGGTAGGGTGGGTAGGCTGCGGATGGGCTGGCTCATAAGCAGGGGGCTCATTAGGTGTTTTGGGCTTTGGATGGGTGGCCCAAGTTAAAATTTATTATTATCAGTTGCCCCCCAACCCCAGGTCACGAGGGTGGCATTTCATCTCTGATCTGAGGTTAAATACATCTTTTCCAAGGTCATGACTGCTTCCGTGGATGACGGTTTCACATGACTGCTGGTGCTACCCTAGGGACGTATTATGTNGCATATATCGATCTGGGCGTTGTTGGACTCTTTTCCTTGGGTTGTAGCCCATTCCTATGGTAGGGTGGGTAGGCTGCGGATGGGCCGTTTGGGCTGGCACATAAGCAGGGGGCTCATTAGGTGTTTTGGGCTTTGGATGGGTGGCCCAAGTTAAAATTTATTATTATCAGTTGTCCCCCAACCCCAAGTCACGAGGGTGGCATTTCATCTCTGATCTGAGGTTAAATACATCTTTTCCAAGGTCATGACTACTTCCGTGGATGACGGTTTCACATGACTGCTGGTGCTACCCTAGGGACGTATTATGTTAGCCCATGTCGGCTTTGATGGGACAGATGTGCTTAAGGGGAACACGTGTCGTCTGGAGAGAGATCCCCTAATACGATTTTCTCTGCACATTCTGCTCCACTTCCCATCATGGTAATAAATGTTATGTATAAAAAGGGGGGAAAAGCCTCTTTGCCTTCCTCACTTACATTTTGAATTCCTATCTCCTCACACATCTTCTTCCTTTTTCCGTGTTTCAAGGCAACTGTNACCTCTTTGTCTTCCTCACTTACATTTTGAATTCCTATCTCCTCGCACATCTTCTTCCTTTTTCTGTGTTTCAAGGCAACTGTTTTAAGTTCTTGGTGGTTCAAGGATTTTGCTTTTCCCATCCTTCTATGGTTCTATTCTAGCTTTTGATTTGGTATGTCTTTTCTTTTTTTCTCCTTCGATCTGGATCCCTTCAACCCTCCCTAATGGGGTTATAGGCTTTGCTTTCTTATTTGGAGGTTTAACTCAGCAGTGCGGTTTCAGGGTAATCCTGAGTTGTGCGAGCTCAAGCAACACATTTCTGGGCTCTTCAATTTTTTATCAGCTCTGCTTGACTATTCTATCTTGCTAGTGTTGTATGCTCTTGGATCGAGGTGTACGGGTTCAAGTGAAAAAACAATAAATGATTCGTTATTCGTGCCCACCTAAGTCCACCTAACTCCTGATGATGCCGCCTTCATTAACTTCTGCCATGAAGTTTCTCCATTATAGGAGTGTAA